AACCACAAATCTGGTCGGCCTGCCACCCTCATTGACGAGTGTATTCTGAATTCGATTGGAGGGAGTCCTTAGTGCAATGCACGATAACTTGGCGGAGCTTTTCAGTGCTATCAGAGCACAATGGCCGCTTCCTCAATATCGCCTCGAAAAGAAGTGAAATTATGGCGAAAGGATATTTTGTGATCTGACTGACCACAGGCTATTAAGACGATAAAATTTTGCATGGACATTTTGATTTGCCGCCTGTCTCTCGCTTGATCCGCCAACTTTGTTGGTGTCAAGAAGTGGGATCCTCAGATAAACCGCACGCGAAAGCACGACTGGCTCGGATGCGTAGAACAAAGGATTGCAACGCCGATTCGAGAACTGCAACCTGGGAGGCAACTTTGAAAGCTCATGAGGCTGCAAATGTTTCGCTCACGGAGAGCTGCTGCCAACGAAGTCCACTGCTATTGGTGAACAATAATGTTGGCAAGTGGATTGGTTTCCCGGCATGGTGCCCGGAAAATCTGAGAAACTTTACTTTATGTCGGCAACGCTCGCCCACGAATTACGAAGAAGGTTCAGGAAAGGTCTCCAAGCTCGTTATGAGATGATCTGACCCACTTAGTGTGTACAGCAAACCTGGTAGACAGGCTACCATACGCCTCTGTTGCCGTCGAAGGTACTGAAATAGGGGCAGTTCGATGATCCGGACCTACTCGGAGTCAACCTCTTCGAGCTTTTCGCCCCAAAGACTCGGGATTTCTGAACGGCCGGCAACCTGAAGTTGCCTGCTGAAGAGCAATGTTTCGACGATTATGGTGGTGTATGTATTCAACAATTGTTGGCTGCACTAAAGAAGAAAAACAATTTTGAAAAAAAGTTGCCAAATGCGCAAAGACTTTTCCGACAACCTAATACTTTAAGACTTCAACTTACATTTAAAAAACCATGACAACACCCATACCCTTTTCATTCCCACCTCCACAATATAAAGACATCTAAAATACCAAAAAGACTCACCATCTGCACATTATCTCTAGCCAAGGGTGTACGAGCAGTACGGGCAGCAACAGCATTCGCACGAGCAGATGCCGCGTAATCAGTGAGAAGTGAGCTGCAAGAAAATATGAGATACAGAACTGATTCTATTGCGAAACACGTACACCGCCTGCTACAGGGAAATTCATGAAAATTCAAAAAGACTCTACGAATCTGGAAAGAACATTCACCTCGTCGCACCTCCATCAGCATACAAACGAACGCTATCACTGGCGTGGCCAATCTTAATAATCTGTTCCATTTCGCGATCACTAATTTGAGGAGCCGGCAAGATCAATTTGCTCCTCTTCTTCTCTTTGGTCTTGAAAACTGACTCAGGTTCATCCTCGGGTCTAAACATGAACAACTGATGAACGTGAAAAAGCTATGAATGCGCCAGGATATTCTTTTTGAAAAGTACACACTTCTTCCTCTTCAGTTTTTCTCTGTCTTGTTTGCGAAGTTCGTTCTCAACTTCCATGCGACGTGGTTTTTCGTGATCAGCTATTGCCTGCAACACCATACACGTCTAATTGAGCATTACCATAAGGCTGAAGAATAAAAAACCAACTCTTTGATGTTTGTCACTAGTGTCCACTTTGTCCTCAGATGGATCATGAAAACCAGCAGGAACAGCTTTCTCGAATGGTATCTGCAAGGTTCAAAGTAATCGTCGAAGGGTAATAAGAATTTTTACAGCCACCTGTAAAAACTCCAAAAAAGAATAACACTGGAAGGACAGACCTCTCCACTGTAGTCAATTTGATTCCTCTTGAGCCGTCTGAACCTTTCGAAGCCAAAAGAGAAGTCCGGCTTCACTCATTCACGCGTTTGTTGGCAAGGACCCCAAACCGACGGAGCTCGATAACTGCCGCTCACGAGCCTGAACAAATTATATAAAAAATAAATGGAAACAAAAGAAAGGCAGCAAGGACGATGTTTTTAATAGAATACACTTCTTAAACTGACTAAAAGATCATCCAGACATATGGTACTTCTAGTAGTTAAGGGATTCATGGAAATTCCTTTACACCCTTTGATAGGTGAGAAATCAAATTTTTAAAATAAATAATGGAATGGTCTAGTCGCCCTCTAGTTAGGAGCATTAGATAGGAAATATATCTAGCTCAGACAAAGAGCTGTTAGGATTCATCTAGCAGTCCTCTCTAAATAACTCTATCTTAACACGTTGACAACAGCGTGACGCTGATAAAAAAAAAGGACGTCTCTGATAAAAAAGCGACTGTAGAATCACAATACAAACCTATTCGTATGGGATGATATGTGTTTTTACTGAAACAACCACGTCCAAATTAATTTTGGAACCACTAAAGGAAATTAAGTAAAATTTCCCTTTTCATGGCCTTAACACGTCATTTCGGTCAAACTTCCATTACTGTAACTCCTGATAAGCTAGACAGATCGAACATCATTGAAAACATTTCATCGCATCTAAGTATTGCGGATTTACAACTTAAAATCCATGGATTTGGTGTGCGGCGGCTGCGCTCGCAAAATCGCTCTTGTCCCACGCGGTGCAAAAGCACAAAACGCGCGATGTCGTCAACGTGTTAACCATAACGAAATTCATGAGGGACGAGATTAGTTACAAAGTACGAGCTCCTTCAAAGTCAATCGTACTAATTATTATGTTGTGAAAAGTGAAAAGTGTTGCCTAAAAAGGAAAAGACACATTGAGCGTTTAAATAACAGCCGTGTGCGGTTGGAAAATCAAATACCTTTCGCTTCGCTTTCTTTCCTTGAGTGTTCGCGAGCCTTGCACGAGCTTCTGACAGCATTTCCAATTCTGGTAAAAAGAAAAACGTAGAATAATGGAATGCTATCCGGGTGGCCTTGAGATATTTGGCTCACGCATCCTTTCACGGCGAAGAAAGAGAATTTTTAAATTTTAAGAAATTCACATGGACTACTACAATCTGAAAATTGTATTCCCATTAAAAAGTCTTACCATCGTCATCCATATCAATAGGATCCGGGCGAGCAGGTTTCGTCTCCGGGGTTGGATCTATTTCTCCAGGCTTCAACCTCTTAGCCTCTGTTGCTTCATCATCCAATCCTTCTGCCTTTCTCTGGGCCTCGTCCAACAGGTGCTCATACCTTAAACACGGAAGTTCACCTTGTAAAGTTTACTAGTTGGTAGAAGCTCTTGTTTGGGGTTCCCATCATTCTAGATAAACCAAAAAATCTTGGAAATAGTGATCATTGATAATACAACACAATGAACATGAAAGACATGGCTTTCGAATCTCCTCGCGTTATTTTCGTTCGGGCAGGGGCCTTGCCAAAAAAGAGAAGAAGTCTAAATGGCGCAAAAATTTTCCAACCGATTGATTTGTAGCAGTCAATGCTCGAATTCTTTCATTGCTACTGTACAGTTAGTAATTATTACATGCGTCACCTTTCAAGACATTGCGCTGCTGTTCGTCCAACAATGGGAGCAATAGTTCTCCATTGCGTCGGCATCAACTTAGCAAGATGAAGCAACTTTTCGTCTTCCTCTCGAGACCATTCCGTCTTCTTGATTCCAGGATCCAGCCACTCGAACCATCGAGCCTGAGTTACAAAACTGTACAAATGCCTTCGCAAAAAAAGCCTGCAATCTTGTTAACTAAAGCAAACTAGTTCGAAAGGTTTCTAGTTCCTTTGTGATAACGTTTCTTCGAATTACATCAAAGCGAAGCTTCCCCAAGTTCTGCGCAACGTTTCAAGCCCTGAGCTTTCCTTAGGTTTACAAAGTAACACAGCACTAGTTTCAAAAAGTTCTGTTTCAATGTAATTCAAAGGATACTGCCACTGAAAACATTCTAATTATTGCATGGTTTCGGATATTTCTTTACCTAACGACTAGCTCCCGCTACTTGATACCCTGATTAAGCCTAAATCAGTAAAGGTGAGTGAAATGGGATATTTCAATTTCCACTTCCAAGGTGGCGATATGAGTGCAGCAATATTGTTGGCTTCAATGTATTTCCAACAAGCCAGTACGCCTGTGAAAAAATTTCAGGCCTGACCGAGGTTCAACAGTGAACAATTGGAGACAATTTCGAGTCCTCTGCGGCTCAAAGGCAGGCCCCAGGATCGCAATTGTGTGGTTTTCGCACACAAAAATGGATGTATTGGTGCGATGCGGCTGGCAAAAAAGGAAAAACCCCATCGAAATGCTGAAGCTAAGGGCTTGATCAGCTCCTTGGTTCGGCCGTGCTAAGGCTATGTGGGACAGAGCTAGGAAGAGAGGATAGTCGAGGGAGAACAACGAATGGAAGAGCGTCAGACATTGGCATACCGTGAGCGAGAAAAAATTGAAGCAGTTGAGTTCGACTTGCAATACCCATCACGCACTTTAGAGTCAGGAAAGCTGGATACTGTGACTTTCGTAAGCAACTTTATCCTACCTACTAAAAAGATTTATCTACCTGAACCATCGTGTCTGGCTCAAAATGAAAATTTCGGTTGCTCTTCGTTCTAGTTCTGAAACGGAACACCGCTTAACATCCTGTCACACGAGATCAATCATTGAGAGGCGAGCCGGAACTAAATGAAAGGCAGCTAAGTAAGGACTCCGCAACAGTTCCAATTGAACACTGCTACCAGAAAAACTAGCAAAGGAGAACCATTGTCGTGAGGGCCGTAAAACTCCGCATATTGAACCACCTAGAGGCATGAACCTATTTATAGGCTTTGGCATATGGGAGGGGGGGCGCCACCTACCGACACGACCGTCGAAACTCTCCATTTTCCATAATCTTTCAATCAACCGTTTTACTATTTCATTAAACCCGCTGCTCTTACAAGTCTGCAAACCCCCTATCTAAGTCTTATTCCCCCTAAGATTTGATTTGGCCCTCCACATTTTATTAAGTTCCGCGGATAAGCTCCTTTAGCACGCTCGCCGTATCCTGCCGAGTTTATGTTAGGAAACTATCAGTCCGGATCAAGCATGTCAAAATCATAGATCCCGCCTATTCAGGCTTCCAACATATGATTGTAGGACAATACTACACACCTCACATTAACTGTGTTCACTTCGTGCACATCACAAGATTTTACCACCCAAGAACCTTTCCTTAACCCAACAAATGTGACTGAACCCTGCAGTTCCCAGAAAGAACAAAAGCGCTCCGACTTCACTGATCCTGAGAATCAACGTTTTTAATTAGGGAAGCAGCTGCAAGACTCCTAAGGGGCAAATTAACAAAATTCTAAACGCTTGCTTCGGTAAAACAATATAATGTGTCACAGCGCTGCATATGACAACAAAAAAGGGAACCCATACATTTGCTGCAAACAACAAAAAAAAGAAAGCAGAAACATGAATAAACAGCTGGACGCCATGAGCATACCTTGCACTGTTTTGCTGACTTTCTGTGAAGTAATGACGCAATACGACTCCATTGATTTTTTCCATATTTCATAATAGCTGCTTTGAGGATTTCATCCTAAATCACCTGGTATACCCTTGATGCCACAATGAAATGTAACAAAAGCTGTCTTACCTCAGTGTTACGCCAAACACCACCTTTAATGATAACACGAACCATCCTGCTACAAGTTCAATTCCTAAAAAAGTTTTATTTAGAGAATGGAAGAGTTCAGAAAAACACTATAAAAACGCTGGAGATCTAAAAAGTCACAAAGTTAGGCGGTATTCGCTGTCAACACTGTCTGGAGAATTGAAGGATCCTAACAGGACTAGGCAGATGTCGAGAAATGACTTCATCTTAATGGAGACTTTGAGAACGAATCAACCAGTATCTAATCCTCCGCGAATTTTTGTTCAGTAACTAACCCTCCGCGAAGTTTCTAACGCTGGACAAGAGCGTTTGAAGAGAAATGGAACGCCCGTGAATAGCTACACTAGTTTTTCTCTTATACTCATGACTGTTACAATGAAACTTTAGTCGTTTCTAAACCTAAAAGAACCCCTTCAAAATCTGACTTGAACGCTGTTGTTAATGGATATCTTTGTGCAACAGTTCGTTCGAAGTGCAGTGATCTGAAATTCGAAGACAGTGTCTTGGTCAGAAGAGGAAGTGGTCCCCGATTAATCCTAATGTGAGAATGGGATTAGTTGGTATTACTCTGTATAAACGTTTGCACGTTTCATTGATGGTTAATATCATATGGCTAACTGCAACTCACTTCGAAATTATAAGTCCTACTAAAATCGAGAAAACCTCTTCTTTCTCTACCGCTTCCACACATTAACACACCCAGATCTAACCCGCAATCACAACCCCAGCTAACACCACAATCTTTTTTTAGTTTTAACGTTCCACGTGGATAGTTAACAAGTAGAAGAACATTACAAGCATGGAAACAACAAGAATGAAAGACAAGCAACAAAAAAAGAAGGAAACGCGAAACACAGGATCACAGAAACACTTCACAGTTGAGGTGCGACGGCCGAGCAAGATTCGAAAACTCGCTCGAGTGCGAGGCGCCGGGAACAACTCGTCCAGTGGTTCTATTGTAAAACTGCTCACTAGGTTGCCCAATTGAAGTTGATTTTACCAATTGTATCTTTCGTCCGTATTATGAGAACACAACTGCAGTTCCTGTAGTGAGACTTAATAACGATAAAGAAGGCTATTTTGAGAAAATTCGGACGAGTTCCCGTGCCGTGAAAAGAAATTCTGTACATGCAGACAACACAACACTTGTCGAGGCTTTTTTTTATTATTTTATTTCTTTATTCTGTTTCGCTCTTGTTTCTTTTTGTTTCGCTTTACTTTTAGTACATGTTCAGAGGTTTCAAACGATGGAGGTGGATACATGTGAAGATGTTCCCGTCAACGACGCGGAAGATACAAAAACGACAGTCGAAGTCAAGGGGATGCCGAAATCGGGGCGATGGTGGAAAGAAGCTCGTCATGCCAGGTATGTACATATGTACATAATTATACACGCTTATGTGGTTCTA